TTGGGAAATTTCTTCTCTGTCCCTGCTCTGGTGACAACTACAATTTTCCCTTTGCTTTTTGTTCCAGTGATAATGGATACCAGGACATAGAGAGAAGCTGAATCTCCCTAGCAATAAGGAATGTTAAAGTGGTTCTAAAGGCTTGAGGTTTTTTACTTTAATGCATTCTTACAATAAAATTCCCCGTTCCCCACTCTCTCCCCTTATACTTACCTGAGCCGATCTCAATCCAGCGATGTGAATGATAGCAGCGGCTCGCTACTCTTTCTCCCTCCCCACAGTGCAGATTGATAGCAGCAGGAGCCATTGGCTCCCTCTGTTGTCAATCAAATCCTATGACAAGGGCAGTGTAGGCGCAGTTCAGAGTCCCGGTTTCTGTGTCTATGGATGCAGACATCAGGGCTCAGGAGTGAGTCCACACAAGTGATCCCATAGGAAGCGACTTCCTATTGGGGCACCCGCCAAGGAGGAGGAGCCAGAAGCGAGGAGAGGAAGAGGACCATATCACTGAGTAAACAGAGGCGGATTATCTCCAGAGGAAAGGATATACCTAACCCCCACTAGGAGGGGAGATGCCTGTTTGACCTGTCTTTACATACAGATCAATATAGGTGAGGGTCCACCTATAAATCACGGATACTACGATGATGCACACTGTTTACAAGATTTACAGCACTGGGATATTGGGCTTACTCACCAGTAGGAAACCACTTCTCACCAATATTTCTGAAGATACTTCTTTGGGACTATTATTTCTACCCTTACTGTCAAGTGATTTTCTGCACTTATTTATGTAAAATGCTATGGTTTAGTTTTCACTAGAGTGGATGTGGTTTGAGCAGCGCAACACTACACACTGGTTTTGCATTTATTATATATGTGATGAGCACACACTACATGTGTTTGCAGCAGCTCAATTTTTTGTTCTGCTTAAATGTTTCACTATTGTAAGTAGACAATGTTTGTTATTTTTTTTTAATTGTACCTCTAGAATCACCTAACTCTTCCCCATTCTAAAAAAAAAAAATAAAAAAAAAATTGTCTAGTGATTTTTACTTTTGCAGCCAAACTGGGATAACCTACTTGTTATATCTTCCTATTCGCATAGTTTTATATATATATATATATATATATATATATATATATATATATATATATAAATGTATTTTATTTTTTCATTTTTATTATTATCATTTTTTGTGTGTTTATTAATATATATGTAATTTATTAAATTTTTTCACTTTTTATTATCATTATTATTTTGTGTGTGTATATATATATATATATATATATATATGTAATTTATTTAATTTGTTCACTTTTTATTATCATTATTATTTTGTGTATATATATATATATATATATATATATATATATATATATATACTACATACACACACACACACAAAAAATAATATTATTATTATTATTATTATTAATATAATAATAAAAAATTAAAAGATAAAATAATATATATATATATTAAAACGTTGCTGCTTACCTTTGCACTTGCTTAAGATCCAACATGATTTCAAGCATTTTTTGTAATGTTAAGGAGTAGTCTGCCCATCCAGTAGGTTGAGCTAAAAAAAAAAAAATCAGCCAATTCCCCCATTCACACACTCAATGCAGATGGGGGAATCCTTCCTGTGTAGCTTTTGTATTCTGACAGCAGGGAGACTTCAGGAAAAACCTGACAGGCTGGTTGTACACAAGTTTTTCACAAGACAACAAGCCTGCCCATACATGGATTGAAATGTGGCCTGTTCCTGCCAGGGGTGGACTGACAACTCATGGGGCCCCCGGGCAATAGGGGATCATGGGGCCCCTGTGTCCTTGCCCAAACTCAAAAAAGCCTATGAAAAAGGTACCAGGGGCATCTCATGAGGCCCCCTACTGACCCCGGGCCCTCGGGCAGAGCCCGAGTTTCCAAATGGTCAGTCCGCCCCTGGTCCCTGCTGAACTGGCCAAATTTTGATCCATGTATGGCTGCCTTTATGTTTGTTTTATAATTAACCCTGTCTGCGCTGTGGTGGCAGGTCTCGCTATCAGTTGTAAACTAGATGTACACTCTCTGTCCTAATAAAATGGTTAAAGATCTCAAGGCTTGGGGGTACATTGTATGCTAATGCATTCTATAATGTATGTTAATCTTTGAATATATATTTAAAAGTGCACCTGTGCTCTAACAAATCATGCATCATGGTTTGTGTGGGTGGAATGTGATGGTACTTTACACCCCGGTCACATCGGGTGCGACTTGAATGCGATTTGCATGCCATGCAACTTGCAAATCGTATGCCAAGTCGCACCCTATTGTCCGCAATTAGAGCGGTCAAATCTATGCGGTTCCGGTTACATGCACTACTTTTGGTGCGATTTACATAGACATCTGTGTCAGATGTCTTGCAAATCGCACATTAAATCGACATCTCACCCGACTTTGAAAATTGTGCAACTTCACTGTAAGTCGCACAATTTCAAAGTCTGGCTTGATGTGACCGGAGCGTTAGAAAGAAAGCTAATAGATTAATAATCAAAAAAAAATTTGTATAACAGTAACAACACAACACTGAAAGTTCATTACAACATTTTTTTTTTATTAATGTCCAAAAATGTGCACTTCATTGATAAAGAACATTCTTTGATGCTAATGCTGCAAACATGGATTTTTTTTAAAGTTCAAGCTTCCAAGTGAAATATAATTGGCAGTCAAACATTCATAAAAAACAGAAACAAGCAAACAGGTAGCTCATGGATGGCAGTGATTGGTCAGAGTACAATCAAAACAGTTTGATGCCCTTTTATCTAACCCCCATCAGGCATAACCTTGAGTCACCAACCTTTTACACCCAGTTCTAAAAATAAGGAGCTCAGGCTGCACCCGCACTAGGCAAATATTTTCTTCCTACAGTAGAGAACTGAATTCCAAGTGGAGTACTGTGTGTACAGCCAGTTCTCTCCCTACCAGGATGTAGAGCCGAGTGGCAAGGATTGTCAGTTTTTGAATTTTTTTTTTTTAATATAAATCTCAATGCAGTACCAGATTTACTTAAAAAAATTTAAATAATAAAATAATGCACGTGTACAGCCAGTTCTCTCCCTACCAGGATGTAGAGCCGAGTAGAAAGAATTGTCAGTTTTCGGATTTCTTTCTTTTTTTTTTTTTTTAATATAAATCTCAATGCAGTAACAGATTTACTTAAAATAATAAAATAATGCATGTATACAGCCAGTTCTCTCTCCTATCAGGATGTAGAGCCGAGTGGAAAGGATTGTCAGTTTTTGGATTTTTTTATTTTTTTTTTATATAAATCTCAATTTCAGTAACAGATTTACTTAAAAAAATTTAAATAATAAAATAATGCATGTGTACAGCCAGTTCTCTCCCTATCAGGATGTAGAGCCGAGTGGAAAGGATTGTCAGTTTTCGGATTTCTTTTTTTTTTAATAAAAATCCCAATGCAGTAACAGATTTACTTAACAAATTTAAAATAATAAAATAATGCACAAGGTGAGATCGACCAGATTGTACCTAGAACATTGATGGTTGGTAACAGGGGCGGACTGACAACTCATGGGGCCCCTGGGCAATAGGGGATCATGGGGCCCCTGTGTCCTTGCTCAAACTCAAAAAAGCCTATGAAAAAGGTACCAGGGGCATCTCATGGGGCCCCCTACCGACCCCGCGCCCCTTGGGCAGTGCCCAAGTTTCCAAATGGTCAGTCCGCCCCTGGTTGGTAAGGGTTAATGCCCTCTGTTGTTTTCAATAGGACGCACATTGTATTTATTAAGGTTAGATTTTCAAGTTTATGAATCAGATACAGATCTGGAACTGTAGAAGCTAAATTAAATGGGGGACTTTATATCACTTAGTAGCAGTCTTATCTCATTATGAATTGAATGATTACAAAGAAAGCATAACAAGGGGTTAATCTTATATCATCAAACTCTCAGTTTTTTGGCCCAATAGAGTGAATAACAGTTGGCCATAGATATTACAATCTGATTGTACAATCTCTTTTGCAACCTCTGATCACAGGCATTACAATCCAGCTATATAATCCCCTTTAGATATACAAACAACTGTGAGTGCGTATCACATTGGCTGTTCATTGAATGGATTTGTAGACGTTCATTATTTTAAAACGATTGCAAAGTTATTGTACATTGGGATTTTATCATTCTATCATCTAGCAATTTAAATCTAAAACAGCCAATCGGTTTGTCACCAATTAATCAGGCACTTGCTTTACACGCCGTACAATCACATTGTAACATGTTCGGTCAGATTAACAAAATTGGAAACCGCCAACCGTCACCAAAGACATTTTTATTTAGAATACAATAAAGATTTGAGCACCCGATGTGATCATCTTTGTATGCCTGCTTTTCAAACAGATTGATGTTTCTGGATGCAAAAATACTATTGTATCAGCCAGATAGATTTACCAGCATGCTGGCAGTTTTATGCCATTTGACAGTCCCATGCTTTATTTTTTATCATTGTGTAGGATGAGAGAGAATCAGGGATTGAAATCTCTAATATTCTAATTACAAATCAGCATTCTCAGTTCTTTCATCTCATCAGAAGAAATAAATTTACTTCATTGTCCATCTGAATACAATGCCTGTTCTATGCTAGTCCCGAACACCCCTCAGGTCCGTTATGCACTCTCAAAACATGTCCAGCACCAGATGTTTGCTAGCTGCTGTGGAACTACAAGTCCCAGATTGCCTAAAGAGTTTTCTATGGCACAACAGCCGGAATGCAGCAAGTTGCCTGCAGACCTGACTCAGAATTATGGTCAGGAGCAGCCAGCGACTCCAACATCGGATTATCAGTTCTTGGGTCTAGCAGGACTCTAGGACAGTATACAGTTCTGCTGCTGCTGCTCCTGCGCGGCTGCTTTTTCCTGGGTTCAGGCTGTGCACTGGCTCTTCGCCTCTCCAGCGCGGGGCTCAACAGACAAGGAAGGTTGACCCTGCGCAGCAGGTCCTCAAACACGTCCTGCACTTTGTGGTTGGCCTTGGCTGAGGTCTCCACGTAGCCGCAGTCCCACTCCAGCTCGGCGGTGGCGGCAGCCTGCACCGCCAACAGCTGCCCGGTCTCCCCATTCCAGTCCTGGGAAACGGTCAGTTTGGTTGCCCACCACCACTATGGGCACGTCGTTCTCCCCCTTGATCCTCAGGATCTCTTGCCGCAGCCGCTCGACCTCCTGGAAAGACTCCAGGTCAGCCAGGGAGAAGACCAGGGCGAAGGCGTCTCCTTGCTGGATGCGCAGCTTCTGCATGGCTGGGAAAGAGTAACTGCCACTGGTGTCCATGATCTCCAGACGGAGACGGAGGAGCTCTGGGTCTGGCTCCAGGCAGTACACCTCTTCAACTGTACGCCGGTGCCTGTGCTCAAAGCGGTCATACAGAAGTTGTTGGATCAGAGCCGTCTTGCCCACACCGGCGGCTCCCATGAAGACCAAGCGCACCGTACCAGGGTTGGACACTGAGATAGACATGATGGACCCTTAGTCTTAGGCTTCAGAGAAATTGGGCTTGATCTTAGCCTGCAGAGAGGTTTGGCTTGATCTTAGCCTGTAGAGAAACTTGGCTTGATCTTAGCTGGCAAAGTCTGGCTTGGTCTTAGTCTGCAGAGATGTTTGGCTACTCACAAGATCTGGATAACAATTTTTGATGATCGGTCTCTCATCTGAAACCTCAGATTGCTTCTAATGGTCACACAGTCCTCCAGATGATCAGACTGGACTTCAGATGATCAGAAGGTCTTCTCAATGAGCAGATGCCTTCAGTGCTGCAGTGGAAATCAGAGCTTAGCCAGTGACACCCTCCGCACGCCTTCTTCCAGCAACAATCTGAGCTCTCTAAAAACCTGAGCTGCAGCCGCCACCTTTATGCGTCCCAGAGAGCAGCTCCAACCAATCAGCATGCAGACAGCCTCCTCCGAATGGGCAGGGCAGAGGCTCCTTGCCAACAAGTCTGCAATCTTTTTTCTTTTTTGAGCTACACGTGTCTTGTGTGTACCAGCAGGTAGAGAGGGGAGGGGGAGGCTGAGGAGCTAGGCGGTAGAATGGACAGAAAGGAATTTTTTATATTTCTGGCTGGCTCAGCAATTGCAATGGCTTTAGCCCTCCTGCACACTTGACGTTTTGATAACTCTGGTAACGTTAGCTGTTTTTCAGCTTTTGTTAGCATTTTTGCATTAGCGTTTAGTGGCGTTTTCCTGTATTTTTACGTGTTTGCGTTTTGTAGCATTTTTGGTTTACAAAAAAAAAAAATTTTTTGGTAAAAAAAAAAAGTCCAAAAACACTGGTTTGCGTTTGAGTTTTACCGCATTTTTCTGTGTTTTTCAGAGTTAAAGCATTTTTACAACTAAACAACTTCTCTAGAAACCCACTAGTTCTGGGGTTTTTTCCAGCCAAAAAACGTCCCTGCAAAAAAACATTGATTACAGTCTATGTGTGCATGGACACATAGGATAACATGCCGGGGATGGACACATAGGATAACATGCTGGGGATGGACACATAGGATAACATGCTGGGGATGGACACATAGGATAACATGCTGGGGATGGACACGTAGGATAACATGCCGGGGATGGACACGTAGGATAACATGCCGGGGATGGACATATAGGATAACATGCCGGAGATGGACACATAGGATAACATGCCGGGGATGGACACGTAGGATAACATGCCGGGGATGGACACATAGGATAACACGCTGGGGATGGACATATAGGATAACATGCCGGGGATGGACACGTAGGATAACATGCCGGGGATGGACACATAGGATAACATGCCGGGGATGGACACATAGGATAACATGCTGGGGATGGACACATAGGATAACACGCTGGGGATGGACATATAGGATAACATGCCGGGGATGGACACGTAGGATAACATGCCGGGGATGGACACATAGGATAACATGCTGGGGATGGACACATAGGATAACACGCTGGGGATGGACATATAGGATAACATGCCGGGGATGGACACGTAGGATAACATGCCGGGGATGGACACATAGGATAACATGCTGGGGATGGACACATAGGATAACACGCTGGGGATGGACATATAGGATAACATGCCGGGGATGGACACGTAGGATAACATGCCGGGGATGGACACATAGGATAACATGCCGGAGATGGACACGTAGGATAACATGCCGGAGATGGACAAGTAGGACAACATGCCGGGGATGGACACATAGGATAACATGCCGGGGATGGACACATAGGATAACATGCCGGGGATGGACACATAGGATAACATGCCGGGGATGGACACGTAGGATAACACGCCGGGGATGGACATATAGGATAACATGCCGGGGATGGACACGTAGGATAACATGCCGGGGATGGACACGTAGGATAACACGCCGGGGGGACATATAGGATAACATGCCGGGGATGGACACGTAGGATAAAAAAAACAAATGGATGATCATTGCTGTATGGTTAGAAAAAACACTTTAAAGTGTTACTAAACCCACAACAGTACAATCAGTCTGTATATGCGGTAAAGCATGCTTGTTATACTCACTGTGGAACTTAAGGGGTTAATCCTCCTCATGTCTTCCCCTTCAAACACCCCCAACCAACCAAACAAGCACCCCTTCCCCACAGGACCTCAACCCATTTTGGAGTACCAGTTGTCTTTAGCTGAGTTTGATGACATCACAGGTCCAATTCACCGTTTTTATCCTTGGGCGGTCAACAGATCCTAAACACTGCACATCCCTGCAGCATTCCTTCGGTGAGTCCAGAACTGGGGTGGAGCTTTGACACCCTGGGCTTACAGAAAGTGGGTTGAATGGTGCTGGGCATCATTGACCCCAGAAGAGGAGGTGCACTGTATCAGTGTCCAGATGAGTCTATGGGAACAGCCTTTGAGATCAGGTGAGATTTGCTGCCAGAGCTAGAAAGCATTTTCAGCCCCTGCCAGGGGATCCTTATGTCAGTACTCCAGCTGGTTGCACTGTGGTTCCCTGAGCAGAGGGTTGTAATTCCAGTGTCCACCAGTGGGTGTCTTGCAGCAGCCAGCAGATCCCAGTATTCAGTGTCCACCTGATGCTGGCTGTTGGAAGGGTATTAGGTCCTCCCCTATTAGTGCCTCTTGCTCCAGAGTTTTGCTACCTGCCAGATCCTGCTACCCTTTATCCTGTTCCTGCCCTGCACACTGCACCCTGCTACTTCTTACCTGATCTCCCTTGTTCCTGATTAGATTTTTTTGTTCCCCCATCCCATCTGCTCCCTGCACCTCCAGTTTTCCCTGCTTTTCCGTGTTACCCATTTTGTATATACAGTAGTAAGTTGTTAGTTAGGCTGTTAGTTATTAGTCAAGTATTCTGTCACAGGGTTTTGTTCACTTTTATTTTTGTATGTTGTGTGCTGGTGTTTGGATGGATCTCACCTAAAACATATACAGTCTGGTCCCAGTTTCCTTAGTGTAGCCGCGCAGATCAGTCTGGTCCCAGTTTCCCGAGTGTAGCCGCGCAGATCAGTCCGGTCCCAGTTTCCCGAGTGTAGCCGCGCAGATCAGTCCGGTCCCAGTTTCCCGAGTGTAGCCGCGCAGATCAGTCCGGTCCCAGTTTCCCGAGTGTAGCCGCGCAGATCAGTCTGGTCCCAGTTTCCCGAGTGTAGCCGCACAGATCAGTCTGGTCCCAGTTTCCCGAGTGTAGCCGCGCAGATCAGTCTGGTCCCAGTTTCCCGAGTGTAGCCGCGCAGATCAGTCTGGTTCCAGTTTCCTGAGTGTAGCCACGCAGATCAGTCTGGTCCCAGTTTCCCGAGTGTAGCCACACAGATCAGTCTGGTCCCAGTTTCCTGAGTGTAGCCACACAGATCAGGTCCTCCCTGCTGCTGATCCTTGACACCCTAATTCAGCCAACTAGAATTGGGCTATAAAGTGATCCCCAATCCTTCTCTTCTCATGTCCCCCGCCGGCACCCTGGGCTCCAGCCCCCCCACCAAGTGCCCCCATAGCAAGCCCCTTGCTATGGGAACACTCATGCATGCTTTCTCCCTCGTCACTGGTTCTGACTGACAGCAGTGGGAGCCAATGGCTCCTGCTGCTGTATCTGAGCCATTGCAGAGCAAGAGAACTGAGGGGAGTCTTGGCTCTTGTGAACATCGCTGGATCAAGATCAGGCTCAGGTATGTATTTAGGGGGACTGATTGTCCCTTAGACAGAGCTGATCACATGACATGGTAAAGGGCCAATGACAGCGGCATTTTACCACATGATCAGCTGTGTCCAATCCCAGCTGATCACCATGTAAACAAACTTGCCAGTTATCAGCAGTACTTTCCTCACACAGCATGAGGAAAGTACTGTCAATAACTGGCAAGCGTGAAAGGAGACAACTACACTGATAATCAGGGCACTGATTATCAGCACCCTGATTATCAGTGCAGCCCCAAAAGTGCCCATCAGTGCTGTCTATAAATGCCAATCTATGCCCAGCAGTGCTGCCAATATGTGCTCATCAGTGCCACCAGTCAGTGCCGCATATCAGTACCCATCATTGCTGCCTATCAGTGCCACCTCATCAGTACCCACCAGTGTTGCCTCATCAGTGCGACAGCGCTGAAAGCTGAAAATTGACCTGGGCACCAAGGGGGTAAAAATGTCCATTAGGCAAGGGGTTAAAGCACAACTCCAGATTTGTTTTTTGTAAATAGTGCCCCTAGTGTACAAGGAAGGCTAGTGCTAGGCTTGCAGGGTAGATTAGTGGAAAGATTAATTGGAAGGTTAGTGTTAGGATTACAGGGAAGGGTGGTGTAAAGGTCACAGGGAAGGGTGGTGTTAGGGTCACAGAGAAGGGTGGTGTGTTAGGATTACAAGGAAGGGTGGTGTTAGGGTCACATAGAAGGGTGGTGTTAGAATCACAGGGAAGGGTGGTGTTAGGGTCACAGAGAAGGGTGGTGTTAGGGTCATAGAGAAGGGTGGTGTAAGGGTTACAGGGAAGGGTGGTGTAAGGGTTACAGGGAAGGGTGGTGTTAGGATTACAGGGAAGGGTGGTGTAAGGGTTACAGGGAAGGGTGGTGTTAGGGTCACAGGGAAGGGTGGTGTAAGGGTCACAGGGAAGGGTGGTGTAAGGGTCACAGGGAAGGGTGGTGTAAGGGCTACAGGGAAGGGTGGTGTAAGGGCTACAGGGAAGGGTGGTGTTAGGGTCACAGGGAAGGGTGGTGTTAGGATTACAGGGAAGGGTGGTGTAAGGGTTACAGGAAAGGTTGGTGTTAGGATTACAGGGAAGGGTGGTGTAAGGGTTACAGGGAAGGGTGGTGTTAGGGTCACAGGGAAGGGTGGTGTAAGGGTTACAGGGAAGGGTGGTGTTAGGGTCACAGGGAAGGGTGGTGTAAGGGTCACAGGGAAGGGTGGTGTAAGGGTCACAGGGAAGGGTGGTGTTAGGGTCACAGGGAAGGGTGGTG